ACACAAAGCCTGGCTGTGGGGCGCTGCTAAATTTGCATCGACTATTCGATTAGATAAGGGCACCTTGGCCTTTGAAGTGTACCAACAGTCCCACAGCGGTGACTACGCTACCCAGGCGAGGGCGCAGCGGGCAGCACGGGGCCGGGGACTCAAGCGAGGGCGCAGCGGGCAGCATGGGGCCGGGGACTCAAGCGAGGGCGCAGCGGGCAGCATGGGGCCGGGGACTCAAGCGAGGGCGCAGCGGGCAGCATGGGGCCGGGGACTCAAGCGAGGGCGCAGCGGGCAGCATGGGGCCGGGGACTCAAGCGAGGGCGCAGCGGGCAGCATGGGGCCGGGGACTCAAGCGAGGGCGCAGCGGGCAGCATGGGGCCGGGGACTCAAGCGAGGGCGCAGCGGGCAGCATGGGGCCGGGGACTCAAGCGAGGGCGCAGCGGGCAGCATGGGGCCGGGGACTCAAGCGAGGGCGCAGCGGGCAGCATGGGGCCGGGGACTCAAGCGAGGGCGCAGCGGGCAGCATGGGGCCGGGGACTCAAGCGAGGGCGCAGCGGGCAGCATGGGGCCGGGGACTCAAGCGAGGGCGCAGCGGGCAGCATGGGGCCGGGGACTCAAGCGAGGGCGCAGCGGGCAGCATGGGGCCGGGGACTCAAGCGAGGGCGCAGCGGGCAGCATGGGGCCGGGGACTCAAGCGAGGGCGCAGCGGGCAGCATGGGGCCGGGGACTCAAGCGAGGGCGCAGCGGGCAGCATGGGGCCGGGGACTCAAGCGAGGGCGCAGCGGGCAGCATGGGGCCGGGGACTCAAGCGAGGGCGCAGCGGGCAGCATGGGGCCGGGGACTCAAGCGAGGGCGCAGCGGGCAGCATGGGGCCGGGGACTCAAGCGAGGGCGCAGCGGGCAGCATGGGGCCGGGGACTCAAGCGAGGGCGCAGCGGGCAGCATGGGGCCGGGGACTCAAGCGAGGGCGCAGCGGGCAGCATGGGGCCGGGGACTCAAGCGAGGGCGCAGCGGGCAGCATGGGGCCGGGGACTCAAGCGAGGGCGCAGCGGGCAGCATGGGGCCGGGGACTCAAGCGAGGGCGCAGCGGGCAGCATGGGGCCGGGGACTCAAGCGAGGGCGCAGCGGGCAGCATGGGGCCGGGGACTCAAGCGAGGGCGCAGCGGGCAGCATGGGGCCGGGGACTCAAGCGAGGGCGCAGCGGGCAGCATGGGGCCGGGGACTCAAGCGAGGGCGCAGCGGGCAGCATGGGGCCGGGGACTCAAGCGAGGGCGCAGCGGGCAGCATGGGGCCGGGGACTCAAGCGAGGGCGCAGCGGGCAGCATGGGGCCGGGGACTCAAGCGAGGGCGCAGCGGGCAGCATGGGGCCGGGGACTCAAGCGAGGGCGCAGCGGGCAGCATGGGGCCGGGGACTCAAGCGAGGGCGCAGCGGGCAGCATGGGGCCGGGGACTCAAGCGAGGGCGCAGCGGGCAGCATGGGGCCGGGGACTCAAGCGAGGGCGCAGCGGGCAGCATGGGGCCGGGGACTCAAGCGAGGGCGCAGCGGGCAGCATGGGGCCGGGGACTCAAGCGAGGGCGCAGCGGGCAGCATGGGGCCGGGGACTCAAGCGAGGGCGCAGCGGGCAGCATGGGGCCGGGGACTCAAGCGAGGGCGCAGCGGGCAGCATGGGGCCGGGGACTCAAGCGAGGGCGCAGCGGGCAGCATGGGGCCGGGGGGCCTGCAGGCTCTGGGGGGGGCAGAGAGGCTCCAGGTTTTTGGAAGGCGGGGGGCTGCTTACTGGTGCGCTGGCAGGCAAGACGGTGGAGCCCCGCTCTGCTGGCCACTCTTAATGCTGCACCATGGTCACTCTCAGTATCCTATCCCTCCCCTTTCTGTCCCCCTTACTTTCCCTGTGGTGGGAAAGAGGCCCATTCCCCACACAACCTATCCCTGCCCTTGGTTTAAGTTAGGGTAAAAGGAAGCTGCATGCCAAATTTGGTGGTCCTAGCTCTTACAATTTAGGAGGCGTTCTTGAACAGACACACAAATGCACTCTAAAATACAGAGATAATAAGCATGCTGCTGCAGGTAAGTTTACATGGTGTCTGAAAGATAGAGGTCAATTATTGACAACCCAAGTATACTTTGTTAAGTTTCAAATGTTGCTCTCTCATCAGTAGCTGGTAGACCAATTTTATAATAATCCTATTAATATGCTCCATCAAAGGGGCAAATTCAGCACTGGTGTAAAATGGTACAAGTCTTTATGACCTGTCCTTGGCCAAATGCATTGGCTGGTGCTTGTTACTTTTTCCTGTGTCTAGTTAACATGTTCTTAAAAAGATACTTAAGTGATGTTTTATTTCCTGTGCACAAATATCCAGCACTTGCCTGTTTAGAGCATAAAACAGCTTAATCACATCTTGTATTTCTGGACAAAAAATTACAGCATCTAATTAAAAATAGCTTTTCAGTAATTGCAACCACAGGGCTAAATTCTTTGGTGTAGTCCTAGTAAAAATCAGTGAATTTACTCTAGGGATAAATGTGCCTCTTTAGTTTGATGAGGAAATGAAACTTACAAGTTTCCTTTGGAACCATATTTAGCTGCAAATGTTCCTAGAGAAACAATCAAATTCTTAAACACTAAGGCTGTGTCTACACTGGCGCGATCTCGCGCAAAAGCGGCCGCTCTTGCACAAAAACTTGCTGCCCGTCTACACTGGCCGCGTGTTCTTGCACAAGTAAACTGATGTTCTAATATATGAAATAAGGCTTCTTGCGCCAGAACTCTGATGCTCCCACTCAGGAATAAGCCCTTTTGAGCAACTGTTCTTGCACAAGAGGCCAGTGTAGACAGGCAACATTAATTTCTTGCACAAGAAAGCCCTATGGTTAAAATGGCCATCAGAGCTTTCTTGTGCAAGAGAGCGTCTACACTGGCATGGATGCTCTTGCGCAAAAGCATATGCCAGTGTAGATGCTCTCTTGCACAACTACTGTAACACAAGAACTCTTCTGCTAAAGAGTTTTTGCACAAGATCATGCCAGTGTAGACGTAGCCTAAGGATATCAGGTTGCCCAGTTTGTCAAAGCTATTTAGGAGCCAGTTATGGAAGTTAGGAGTCTAAATTCCTTTGAGTATCTGAGACTAAGATCCAAAAATAGGGTCCTACCAAATTCATGGCCTTGAAAAACTCATCACTGTCTTTGAAATCTGATCTCTCCCCGTGAAATTTGATCTTTTGTGTTTTTTTTTTACCCCGTCTAATACAGCAGGGGCAGGGAACCTTTTTGGGGTTGGGGGCTGCTGACAAACAGAAACATTAGCTCCTGGCCAGCTCTGATGGCAGCACTACCACCAGCATCAGCACAGAAATAAGGATAGCTGTACCCTAATCCCTCTCTACAATAACCTTGTGACTATCCCACAACAACTCTGTGAAATTTCATATAGAAAATGGCTGAAACAATGAAATGTAATATTTTTTAAATCCTGACTGTGAAATTGACTAAAATGAACTGTGAATTTATTAGGGCCCTTCCAATAAGGGCCACATCTTTCAAGATGCTCAGTTTTCACTCAGTTTAATGCAAGAGTAGGCCATGTCCAGCGTAGTAGTCAGAAGTCACTGTAGAGGTATCCTGACAGGTCTCCTGCTCCATCAATGATGGTATCTGTTTGGCTGTGCACCCGTATGCGCAATCCTGTGTGTTTTGTTGACTTTGTACAAGCAGTCAACACAGCAGACTCCCAGAGACCACATAATCAGATAAGGATCAAAGGCACCTGTCCAAGTTTATTGTCAAATGAAGTACAGTAGTAGTTGTCAGTAGACTCTACCAAACCACTACACGTATGTATCCCCTGACAATGGACTGGCTCAGTCAGTGGAAGGACTCACTGCTCCTTAGGGTGGACAAAGACAGTCCCTCCCACGCACAACTTTATATACAGGTACAAACAAGATACACAACACTCCTGACGTGTCAGGTTGCCACCCTGTGACATTCCCCAGATACCACCCATCACCCTGAACCTGGTGATTCGACCAAAATGTCCCTATCCATCATGCTGTCATTTTAGGCCTTTTCCTGAACCTGGGTCCCTGTTATCTGTGGTGAGTGTGGGTAATAAGGTCCTTTAAAACGAGGTTTGTTACAATCTTTCTGGAATGTGCTTTCAACCTGTGCCCAGTACCAATTACTATTTCACAGCTGGTGCCTTATTACCAATTAGAGTTTTGCACAATCAGCCCTGTTCGTGCCATGAGCAGGGCCCTGCCTCTTGCTCACAGCTTACCTTTATATTAGCTAAGTCTTGACCATTGTTGACCAGGCCTCAGGCCTCACACCAGGCCTGTGCTACATGGGCTTCTGTTTCAGGCAAAATAAGTTGGTCAAGGGCTGGTTGGCATAGTTGTGGTCTCCATCTGGTAAACAAAAATGGTGGGCACTGCTTCTGCTTATCCACCCACGCATGGTGTTTGAGGAGCACCATCACGGTCTATGACAGGGGTGACCAACCCATTTAAGAAAGAGAGCTGAAACAGCAGTGGAAAAAAATGCACCAGAATTGTCAAGCAAAAAAAGAAAAAAGAGGCTGCCCCTTTAAGGATTAGGCTTTTTGGCCAAATCAGGCTCCCATTGACAGCCGCCATCTTGGGCACCATTTTGAATTGCCAACCCAGTGAGCGCAGGGGAGTGGCTTTGCGAACTGCACTTTTGGGGGGCACGGCTGGTCTATGACACCTGCTATGCTCCCGCTCTAGTGTTTGTAATGGGAGAGCTGGTCCAGTCTTCCTTTCATTCTGTGTGTCTGGACCCTCAGCCTAGGTACTTAGGCCGTTAATTTCCTTGGAAATCAATGGGGTTCAGGTGTCTACAGCCCGTGTCTTTTACTTACTAAGTAGCATTCCAGACACAAGGAGGGTACAATTTGCAATTGTTTTGTAATACATCCAAATGGCTCCCTTCTCCAGGCAAGGCATTCAGTCATTAATCATTCCAGGAGCTAGAGAAAAGCAGCATTAGCTTTTCTTCCTTTTCAAAGAAACAATCCAAATCTGTCCCGTGTCTTCCCAGTCAGAGCTCAGGATTTCAGCAGATCTGCCAGGAGGCTCTCTGAAGCTCAGCTTCTCCCTGAACCTCAAGCAGATGTTCTTCAAAGAGGAGCGCAGCTCCCTGCTTCGGAGGGCGTAGACAAGGGGATTCACCATGGAGTTCACCAGGCAGAGGGTGCTGCAGAAGGCAAACACCTTTTTGATGTCGTTATTCAGGCTGGCAAAGAGGCTGTACGTTATGACACCCAGCACTGGGGACCAGCATGTCACGACAACCACCAGGATCATCACTAATGTTTTGGCAAGTGTGACGTCCATTCTCATCTTTGCAGTTCGCCGCCCAGCCTGGCTTTGGCGTCTCTCCTTGTATACTGTGTGCTTATGAGCCTTCCACAGTACCTGCACATAGGCATACACAATACACAGCAACAGAATCATGACCAGGCAGATCCAGGCAAACATATCAGAGCAGGCTGATTTTGCCTTGCAGCAGTTCCCCCCCATGAGTGGCAGGGGGGCTGCCACCATGGTAATTACCCACATCACAGCCATCGCCATCAAAGCCCTTTTCCTTGTCACAATGGCCTTGTACTCTGAGGGCCTGTGGATACAGACGTATCGGTCAAACGCCATCAGCAGCAAGCTGCCCAAAGATGCTGTGAAGGACATGTTGACTCCTCCGAGCTTCAGCAAGAAGATCTCTTTAGAGGAGTCAGTTCTATTGAAGACATGGAAATCAACAAAGCTGCAGACAAATACGATGCAGGCCAGAACATCTGCTAGGGCTAAGCTGCTGATCAAGATGTAGGAAGGCTTTTTCCTGATCTTAGGGGAAGAAAATATCAGACACATCACAGAAGAGTTTTCCAAAAAGCACAGAGCCCCCAAAATGAAGCATAGCGTGCCTAAGCCTATTTTCTGTCCACGGCTATTAAGGACCATGTAACATCCCATGGGCATGGTATTCATGCTGCAATTGGGCCCTTTTGTGCTTTCATTCATCTGGCATCTCTCCATTGTGATTATCCAGGAGCAAGGGGAGTTTAGTGAACCTGTTCCAAAAAAAAAGATACAGAGGGGAAAAAAGTTACATTTGTACCCAGCACACAAAACACCACACACAGAGACGTGAAAGTCAGAGTGTACAGAGTGTGACAGAGTGTACCAACCCTGCACTGGGCCTGCAAGGGTTAAGCCTGGCTCACCTGGCCGAAAAGGCACTGCCCCCATAGTCCTGCTGGGCATGCTCCAGCTGGAGGCTGGCTATAAAGACTGGAGGAGCAGCTCACTTTGGGCTGCTGGTAAAGGAGATGCTGCCAGTAGTCTGGAGGAAGAGCTGCAGATGGACCAAACTGAACTGTGGAGACTAGTCAGCGGGGATGGTCCGGAGACGCCCCCAGGCCAGAGGAAAGTGGAGAAGCTGCAATAGTGAGTCTGGTAGGAAGTTGCCCAGGGCAGGGAGTTAGATCCCTGAGAACTCAGCGTGTTTTGGATGGATTCCCTCCTGAGCTAGAGGGGGGCCTTCCCACCACTGACAGGGCCCTGGACTGGGAGAGGATGGGCCCAGGTCTCTTAACCCATCAGCACCCAAGGAAGAGTGCTACAACCATTGCAGTTGACTCTGGCTGCTAGGTCACGCTGCCCTATGTGAAGGGGATTGCTATTGATCCTGAAACTCTGGCTGCTAGGCCTCATTGCCCCAAGGGAAGGGAGTGTTGTTACTGACTCAGGCCACTAGGCCTCACTGCCCTGAGGGTAGGGAGAGGTCTTACTGACACTGGTTGCTATGCCTGACTGCTTCACAGAGAGGTGGTGTGGCCCTGAGCCATTGGAGTCAATACACACGTGGGGTGGAACATCCTTGGAGAGGCCTAAGAGGCCTAACACCCTACCTGAGGGGGATGGGTGTGCCCCCCCCCCACTCTTTTGTAAGGATTTAAAAGGATTTAAGGACTTGAGACCATAAAAAGGAAGAGAAATCCTGCTTCTCTTACTAAGGTGAGTAATTCCACTGACTTTATTGGGCTAAGCCAACGAGCCAGATTTGGTCCCAAATCAGAACGATCCTGAACTGATTTACCGCCAGCGGGCTTGCTCTGTGAGACGAGTGGATGATTTCACTCTGCGCTTACCCCTAAGCCAGTGTTTCTCAAACTGTGCTCCGGAGCCCAAAAAGTTTAAGAACTGCTGCCCTAAGCTATCCAGAAATGCCCTGCATTCCACTTGTCGCCACAAGGGGGCAGTGATAACACACTTCCAACTGACAGGTGGCTGCTAGAATGGAAAGGCTGAGAGCTCCCAGTATGCGGTCCCCTGCCTCTGAGCCTGCTGCTGGGGCTAAGCATGTGACTTAGCTTTGCAGGGCTCCCTGCGGCAATGTCGGGGGAGCACTCAGGTGCAGGGCTGGCGACAGACATTGCTGGGTCCTGGGCAGTGGGGGGGAGGGATGCTCTGGAAGGGATGGACCACAGGTGCAAAGGGTGGAAATAGGAGCAGCCTGGACTGTACTGGGCCTTCCCCAGTGAGCCTTCAGTGCTGCCCAGCCCATAATGCGTGGGGCTTTGGTGGTGATTTAAAGGGCGTGGGGCTCTGGCTGCCACAGTAATGGCGACAGTGGCCCCTTTTAAATCACTGGGCCTCAGAGCAGCTTCCTCCTTTGCCCCCATCAGTGTCCCTGCCCCAGAGAGTTTCACCATCTTGTGACTCCCCTAAATCCATGCCACTGCTCCCCAGGTTGAAACACTCCCATCTAGACCAGGGATATTAAATATTGGTTAATTGAATAGTCATTAACCTCATGAATTCTTATTGGTTACTCGACTATTCTATGGTTCCCAGGGATGGGGTGGCAGCCAATGTGCTCTGGCCCCACTCCCGAGGAGTCCCCTGCTACTCCTCACTGCTGCCTCTGTATCAGACACAGCAGCATGTGGTACCAGGCGGGAGCTGGTCTACAAGAGGAGCCAGTTTAAAAACCTGCTCCCCTTGCAGACCGACTGCCGGTTGTCCTGTGCTGCTGCCTCCAATACAGAGGCAGCAGTGCAGGGTGGCAGCTGCCCCTGTCCAGTGCGGTGTGTGTGTCTGAACTCCTGAACACAGCACGAGCTGGAACTGAACCAGGCTGGCTGCCTGTACAGCTCCTAATACACTTTAAATACAGAGCCAAACCAGGGGTAGGTCCTAGACCCAGCACAAGCTAACCAGCCTGCTATAAAATTTACTTGGGGGGGGAGGGGGAGAAGAGAAGGGGAATGCGTGTAATCTATAGCATTAACCTAGAAGCTTTGCTTATCAGTTAATTGACTATTCTATTACATCCCTAATCTGTAATAGTAGAGGAGCTGGCATATCTCCAGAGGAGCTCTGTGTAGTGTAGGGGTTCAGTTATCCCTGTGGGCTAGATGGTGTGAAACAGGAAACAGAGAAAGAACCCTAACTTTCCACAGCCAGATGCAGTGCTACATAGTGACCCTGATCTTAAAATGTGATCAGCAGAAGCAGACCACTGTGCCTTGGTGGATCTTGAGTGGGTGTTGGATCCTCGTTGGGAATCTGGGGTCCAGTGAGTCTCAGTAGCAGCACTTTGGAGCAGGATAGGGTTTAAGCCAGAGTGACTGAGATTTCATGGCATACTGATGTCGTGACCACCCAGTTACAGAACAGGTGTATCAGAGTAGTAAACAGCCTCTCATCTAGCCACAGCTCTTTCAATTCAGATCTTATAGATCATTGTGCCTGCTTTGGGACTCCAGGATGTGGGTTCCTGTACCAGCTGCTCCAAGAAGCAGTCATTTAAGGCACCGAGAAATTTTATCTCTGCATCCCGTCCTGAGGTGACGTGTACCCAGCCAATATGGGGATAATTGAAATCCCCCATTATTGTTGAGTTTTTTATTTTGGTAGCTTCTCTAATCTCCCGTATTATTTCAATGTCACTATCACTGTCCTGATCAAGTGGTCGATACTATTCTTATTAGAGCATGGAATTAATATCTATAGTGATTCTATGGAAGATTTTGATTAATTTAAGATTTTTATTTCATTTTATTCTACGTTATCTTTCACATACAGTGCCACTCCGCCACCCACACGGCCTGTTCTATCCTTCCGATATATTTTATATCCCGGTATGATTGTGTCCCACAAATTGTCCTCATTCCACCAGGTTTCTGTGATGCCTATTATGTCAATCTCCTCCTGTAATACGAGATACTCTAGTTCACCCATCTTATTAGTCAGACTCCTAGCATTTGTGTAGAAGCACTTTAAAAATTGCCACTGTTTATTTGTCTGCCCTTTCCTGATGAATTGGATTCCTTTATATGTGGTTGTCTGTCTGATTTGGCCCATGGTTTGTCCTCTTCCCTCCTCTCTTTCTGACTACAGCCTAAAGAATCTCTATCAATGGATTCTCCTCTAAGCGAAGTCTCCGTCCAATTTACATGCTTCTCTGCACCAATCGGCTTTCCCCCATCTTTTAGTTTAAAAACTGCTCTAGGACCTTGTTAATGTTTTGTGCCAGCAGTCTGGATCCACCCTGGTTTAGTGGAGCCCATCCTTCCTATAGAGGCTCCCCCCCTCCCAAAAGTGTCCCAGTTCCTAATAAATCTAAACCCCTCTTCTACGACCTTTTTAATGTTTAGTGCCAGCAGTCTGGATCTATCTTGGTTTAGGTGGCGCCCATCCTTCCAACATAGGCTTCCCCTCTCCCCGAAGTGTTCACAGTTCCTAATAAATCTAAATCCCTCCTCCCTACACCATCGTCTCATCCATGCATTGAGACTCTGAAGTTCTGCCTGCCTACCTGGCCCCGCGTGTGGAACAGGAAGCATTTCTGAGAATGCCACCATAGAGGTCCTGGATTTCAGTCTCTTCCCTAGCAACCTAAATTTGGCCTCCAGGATGTCTTTCCTACCCTTCCCTATGTCATTGGTACCTACATGTACCACAACCACCAGCTCTTCCCCAGCACTGCACATAAGTCTATCTGGATGCCTCGAGAGATCCGCAACCTTCACACCAGGCAGGCAAGTCACCATACGGTTCTCCCGGTCATCACAAACCCAGCTATCTATGTTTCTAACGATAGAATCACCCACTACTAACACCTTCCTCTTCCTAACAACTGGCGTTCCCTCCCGCTCAGAGGTATCCTCCGTGCAAAAGGATACCGCAACATCCTTTGGAAGGAGGGTCCCAACTATGGGATGGTTTTCCTCTGCTCCCATTGAATGCTCTCTTCCCCTGAGCCTTTCATCCTCCTTAAGAGCACTGGGGCTCTCAGACTGGAGGTGGGACAGTACTACAGTGTCCCAGAAAGTCTCATCAACATACTTCTCTGCCTCCCTTAGCTCCTCCAGTTCAGCCATCTTGGCCTCCAAAGCCTGAACTTGGTCTCTGAGGGTCAGGAGCTCCTTGCAACGGGTGCACACATATGCCACTCGCCCACAGGGCAGGTAATCATACATGTTAAACGACGCAATAAACAGGATAGCCCCCACTCTGCTGCTGGGCTTCTGTCTGCATTTTTTCCTATGAATAAGTTTGATTATAAACTGGGTTTTGATTTAAATGTCTGGGATATAGATTATTATAAAAGTTTTATGTTTAAAGAAGGTCAGAAGTAACTGGGTTTTGTCAACAAAACTATACCTTCTTCTACACTGCGGCTGAGTTCTGTCGACATAATGTCGACAGCATTCAGCAGTTTTGTTGACGGCTGTAAACCTCATTCTACAAGGAATAATGCCTTTTGTCGACAAAGTTCTGTCGACAGAAGGCGTTATTGCATCTACACTGTCATGTCGACAAAGCGGCTTGCTTTGTTAATAGAACTGGATGTAGTTTAGACTCTCTTTGTTGACAGAAGCCTGTACTCTAGACGTACCCATAGTGTGCCCTCTAAACTCCCCTCTCAAAACTCCCTCCTGTTTGCAGTCAGTCGCCCTGGTCACAAGCTCCCTAGTCGCTTACTAGAAGGGTTTAAAAGCTCTGGCCTGCCTGATAGCCCCTCCCTCCAGCTTCGGCTCAACCAATGAGCAGAGAGTTTGAA